TTTTTAAAAGAAGCTAATAATTGGAAAAGTCACTTCTGCAAGGTTGTATTATAGAATTGTACTGAAATCTATATTATTTTATTAACCAATGTCACCTCAATAAATTCAATAAACATTTTTTAAAAAAGAAAAAAACATGCTTTGTGGTCACTTGTAATGTTCTAACCTCAATTATGAGTTTAAAACATTTATGCTTATTTGTCCTGCTAACATTTAGAAGTGTGGATATCTTCATTTTTGTCTATAAGGTGATCATTACAGATTCAATTATTTCGAAGAGAAAGGGATGTTTAAAAGGTTGAAAGTGAAGCTGAGAACCTGGAGTTATCTTAATGACATAGAAATATCCCACAGGGAGGTGTGCAATGAAGTAACTGCAATCTTCCTTTGCACTTTATTTTTGGAAGATTTGTTAATAATGTCAACTAGTGAGCTCTGCTAGGTTTTCTTAGTGGGGTTTCCTTTTATTTACATGCATCTACTGCCTCAATATGTTTTATTTTCTGATTGGATAGTTCAGTAAATACTTTAAATGACATTGTTATCAACTTTAAAGTCCAAAGCCTTAATGTGGTTGGTACCTTGTAATTTTCACTTAAGTAGTCTCCAGAATGCTTTACTGTTAATTGACAGGATTCCCCTGACCTCATCCCCCCCCCCCCCCCCCCCCACCACCAAATCACAGCCAGTGGGAAGCTAATTAGTGCAATTATTCCACAGCTGCATTTGCTGCTGCACAAAGAGTTGCTCATGTTCCTATCACAAGGATCAGCGTCTCTGGAAATGTCCTAACCTGACAGGCTCTGAATGCTAAGACTGTTTATTTATTTATTTTAAATAGTGCCTCACCCTGCCCTTTTTTTCTTCGTTTAGGGAAGTACTAGTACAGTTTAGTTTTGCTGATCTTCTACCAGGTGAATAGATTATTTTGAGTAATGGCTACTTTTATTATGTGGATGAGTACATGGTTTACTCATAAGCAGGGTATCAACATTGTCCACTCTATGTGTGTCTGGAGGAAACAATGAAAAAAAGAGTGTTGGGTTGCTCTGGATTCTGAAGACTCCGAGCACCCCTGCGCTGGAGGCAGTCCCTGCGTTCCCCTCGGATCCAGTCCCCTTTTCTAGCCAAATGGTGACTTTGATCACTCAGGTCATTGTTTCATTTTCTGAAATTAGCAGCACATAGTTTGCCATTCGGAAAAATCATTATGGCTTTATTTAGCTTAGCAGGGGAAAGACTGAAAAAGAAATTTATCTGTAATTCCACTCCGACTCTGGCAACTTGGCAACTATGAACATCTCTAGGCATTCCCTGTAGTCATGCGTATTGTGAGCATGCACAGGCTGTTCTTATTTTAAATTAGAATGTAAATACATTTTTGTATCCTACCCTTTAATGTACTCTTATTTCAGGCATTTTCTACTTTGCTCTGTAGTCTGTATTTTAAAAAATGCTATATTATCAAACTCATGTATCATTCATGTATTCTGATCTACTTTTTAAAAACCTATTTTATGCTTAAATCTCTTAAATGGTTTTATTTTCCCCCCAACTTTGTTCAGGTATAATTGACACAAATGGCATATATTTGGGGCATATATCTTCATGTATGTATTGGTTAAATGGTTAAAATCAAGCTACATAACACATCTGTCACCTCACATAGTTACCATTTTTTTTTTTTTTTGTAATGAGAAGAATCATTCCCTACAGCCTCTACACTGTATGTACCTCAGGTCCTCAGACCCTAAGCATCTTGTAACAAAAACTTTGTGCCCTTTGGCCAGCAATTCCCTCCTAATTTACTTAACCATTCTCAACAATTTAGGTGCACAGAACATTTAGCAAATTGAAAATAGCTTTGTAATGTCAGGTTTTCTACATTTTGAGTTATTTTCTTAGGAATGTTGTCCACGAATGAAATTTTGAATCAGATTGTATGAACAGTTTCGCAGCTTTTGATAAGACCTTTAAATTGTGCTCTTAAAAGACTGTAATGATACTTACCAGCAATGGTCCACAGTGATGGTATCATTATACTTCTTAATTAGTGAACATTTAAAAAATTGGACCATATCTTGAATGCTATTTTGCATCGGGCTTTTCTAAGTTTATTATATTTTGTCCCCCCAATACTTCCACTACTCACCTGACACCATACATACATGGTTATTACAATATTATTGACTGTATTCCCTATGCTGTTCTTTACATCTCCTATTTTGTGACTATTTTATAACTACCAATTTGTACTTCTTAATCCCTTCAACTTTTTTTAAATCTTTACTGGAGGATATGTTTTAAAAAAATTTTAATTGATTTTTAGAGAAAGAGAGAAAGGAAGAGGGTGCGAGAGAGAAACATCAATGTGAGAAACATCGATCAGTTGCCTCTTGTACATGACCCAACTGGGAATCGACCGGGGATCGAACCCTCAACCTGGGTATGTGCCCTAACCTCGAATCGAACCCACAACCCGTTAGTGAATAGGATGTTGCTCCAACCAACTGAGCCTCACCGGCCAAGGCAATCCCTTCTTTTTCACCCAGTCCCCCAAGCCCCTTCCCTCTGGCAATTATTTGTTCTCTGTGTGTATGAGTATGTGTCTGTTCTGTTTGTTCATTTATTTTGTTCTTTAGATTCCACATATAAGTGAAATCACATGGTATTTGTGTTTCTCTGAATGACTTATTTGGTCCATCTGTGCTATTGCAGATGGTAAAGTATATGGTTGTCTAACTCCTATTCTGTACACCTGAAACTAATACAAAATAATATTGAATGTAAACTGATTAAAAAATAAATTTTAAGTCCTTTTCAATAAAATAAAATATGTAACAAATAATATCCCTTAAAAGAACAAATAAAAATAAGTAGATTATACTGTATAGTTTTTATTCAGAACAATATATATATTTCTCTACCATTGTAATGGCTGCGTAGTGTTACATTGTATGAACCTGCCACAGTAGGGAAACGGGTAAATAGGTAAACTGCCTGCCCTTTGTGATGGCGTTTCTGGGAGTGTGGGCAGGACAAGCATAGACATTTCTTCATCTTCACTTGCAGAGTCTGAAAGAATTCATGAGGATGGTCGATGATTTAAAGGCTTTATTTTGTTGTTTTGTTAGAAGATAAAGACAATACTGGGGTTTATGGTCAAAAAAGCTTCTTCCCTTGAAGAGTGACACAGGAGTGAATCTTTTCTCAAATGTCACCTTTCTCCATTTCAGATGCTAAGGTTTTGCAGTGTTTGTCCTGAACATAGCTTTTAGAAAAGCACATTGAGCCTCTCAGACTCCATCCCAACGCAATACACTTCCCTTTGGCATCACTGAGGGCTTCTGACTGCAGTTTTGTGTGTGAGGAAAATCCCTCTGTTTCAGTTTTAGCCCGTCAGGCAGCTTAAATCTAAACCTCATTCCTGTTGTTAGTTTTTTTAGTAAAAGTGGACAAAGGGATAGTCCTTTAAGTATGAAAAATAATCCCGTGTTGTAAGACTGCTATAAACATATCCCTCTGTTTCTACTGTATTTTAAGATCATATATGTTTTTATGGACAATAAGAGATCAACCGAAGGACTTGTATGCATGCATATAAGCATAACCAATGGACATAAGACACTGGGGGGTAGGGGAGGCTGGGGGAATGTCAAGGGGGGCGGAGGAGACATATGTAATACTCTTTGTAATACTTTAAGCAATAAGACATATTTAAAAAAAGATACAATTAATAAAGTATGATTAATAAAAAATGGAAATAAAGAACAGTTAAATTTTCTAAGTAAGTACAGCAACAGTGACTATTTATTGAGGCAATAATACATGGCATGGTGCTCATTGTACTAGGGCAGTGGTCGGCAAACTCATTAGCCAACAGAGCCAAATATCAACAGGACAACGATTGAAATTTCTTTTGAGAGCCAAATTTTTTAAACTTAAACTATATAGGTAGGGACATTGTTATTAACTTAATTAGGGTACTCCTAAGGCTTAGGAAGAGCCACACTCAAGGGGCCAAAGAGCCGCATGTGGCTTGCGAGCCGCAGTTTGCCGACCATGGAACTAGGAGATTTATGTGAATTATTTTATTATTTTACCTAATTTTCACAAAACCCTTCTGAGCTAGGGCTTTACAATATAATGATGCGATGAACATTTCAAAAGCACCTCCCATGTTCATAAATGGGTAATTGGCAACACCGATTGTCATCCCTCTGTTCTGGGCGTGTTAATAATGGCTAATGTCATAGAACTGGCAAGATAAGTGATTGAAAACCATATTTAGGACAGTTAGGAAGCCATTTCTTCGTCACTGGTGACTAGTGTCTAAGCATTAGAAATGATTTTGGGAAGAGTCAGTCCCCTGCCAGAAGTCAGCTTCCTGGGGAACTCGCAGAGCGGTTGGGAACGGGCACGCCAGCGTGCATCAGAAGGCATGCACAGAGAGAACCAGGCGGAGGAGCTGGGTGTCCAGCCAGCTTCTGCCCCTTTCCCAAGGGCTGAGGTCAAGTTCAGTGAATATTTTCCTTCAAGTACTTCTTTCATTAATGATTTTTACTTCCTGTACCTTCGAAAAATGACCCCATTGGCGAAATGTACCTTTCCTTTAAAGTACTCCGTGTTAGTAAACATTTCAGACATCTTCAAGGAATTGGGACAACACGTAGTAGTTATTTGGTTAGATTCGGATATAAAAAAGCAAATCAAGCAATTCACTTTTACGTGTAGGAAACGGGTGCCATTGTGTGCATTGCTTCTCAGCCACATGATAAAATGCCTCAATGTAATCAAGATGACTTATTTTAATTCAACTGCTAATGACTTCCTTGCTGTCACCACACGATTCTCAGTTATGTAGAGACTACTCTGCAGCTTGATTACAATTGCGCAGGTTCATTTCATGGGGTATCATACAAGTTAGGATACCCCAATTGCAAATTAAAGGTCTCATTAGGGAACTAAAAGTGCTTTTTTTTTTTTTGGTTTTCTCACAGCAGTTCCGAGGAGCATCCTGGGGCCTCCAAGCCTCCGCTAAGCTCCTCCAGCATGACATCACGTATCTTGCTACGCCAGCAGCTCATGCGTGAGCAGATGCAGGAGCAGGAGCGCAGGGAGCAGCAGCAGAGGCTGCAGGCGGCCCAGTTCATGCAGCAGCGAGTGCCTGCGAGTCCGACGCCAGCCATCAACGTCAGCGTGCCCACCACCCTTCCCTCTGCCGCCCAGGTGCCCATGGAAGTCCTTAAGGTACGTGTCGCTCTTGTTGGCTGGACGAGCCCTCTGCCAAACCAGCATTTTTCATTTTCTAGGTATTTTATTTGTCTGAATGTGTATTTGGTCCTAGCGACCTGTCTGAATCATGTCAGTCATCGCCAACCCCACCTATCCCTCCATGGCTTTGGATTGTAAGACAACGGCATGCTCTTGTCCCCTTAGTGCTGACCTTGTTTAATGAGGAAGAGTGATGTTCCATGAGAAATCACAAGTAGGAATGGGTGTCTGTTGTAGCCATATCTTTCCATCTTCCTTTGGGAAAGTTTAAAATGTAAAAGGAGCCTCTTCTAATAAGTTGTATGAATTTTCCCCTAATATTCCATGGCCCTTCTTTAAGTTTCTTCTTTATGTAGTGAGTCATCTTGGCTATAGAGCCTGACTCTTTTAGAAGGTCTCTTCAGGTATAACCAGGACGAGCTTCCTCGCTTTCACTGCCAAAGGGCATGACCCTGGACTGCAGGGAGTTGTCTGTGTGGGTCTTTGATTCCGTGCTGGAGTGGAAGCTGTGGAGCCTGTTAGTCTCATTCCATCAGGGCCATGCAGCTTCCTAATTACGAGTAAAATTGTAACATCTGAGCGTAGACTTCCATCTCACACACATGTCCTTCACATCGCATTGGGAGAGACTCCTAGTTTAAAGATAAACACTCCAACTCTTAAATGTGACTGATGCAAGAAAAGTTCCCGTACTTAAAAAAATTTTAACCCATTCACCTGATTGATTCATTCTGAAGAGTCTCGAGTTCGCTGTTCATTAAACAATGTGAACTTCACACATCGGTGACTCATTGCTGGTCTCTGCCTTCCTCTGTGTGCTCACAATACCATCTCCCACTAGTTAAAGTTTACTGTTAAAGCAAGTAGAGCAGCGGTTCTCAACATGTGGGTCGCGACCCCTTTGGCAGTCGAACAACCCTTTCACAGGGGCAGCCTAAGACCATCCTGCATATCAGATATTTACTCGATGATTCATAACAGTAGCAACATGACAGTTACGAAGTAGCAACGAAAATAATTTTATGGTTGGGTCACAACATGAGGAGCTGTATTTGAAGGGCCAGAAGGTTGAGAACCACTGAAGTAGTGGGATGATGTGTTATAACTGCGAAGCAATATGTGATCCTTCCCAGGAAGTAGGACAGAGAAGCTTTAAAAATAATTTAAAGTAAATTGTTTTTTACTTGCAAAGACTTTTTAAAAATGTAATGATGAAATAATAAAACTCTTTAATGGGGAAAAACACACGATTAAAATTCTGTTAGAGCAAAAAAGACCCAAACAGTTTAGCATAAAAGTTTTCTCTAATGTGATCAAAATCTGGATATTGCCCCAATTAATCAATATTTTATCACTCCCCATCTCCCTCTCCCCAAACTAAAGGCAAGGTTTTCTCTTGGGAATAGGTTGTGTATTAAATCTTTGTGTTCTGTTTGGGTGAAGATTGGCAGTCAATAAGTTTTTATAGACTTAAGATTTATTTAAGACTTAAGTTTTCTAACTGTTTACAGATATCATAATTGTTTTGTCTATACTTTAGATTATTTAAAGTTGTATGAATTAGTAAAAAATATGGAGAAATATGTCTATTTTATTCATTGTATTAGTCAACTTTTTATATCTGAAGGTCAAATTTTAGAAGAGATAACATGGGTTGTGTTAGTGGTAGTTTATGTCTAATTCAAAGGTAATATTCGATATTATGTTCAAGTATATTAATTGAAATCAATATTCCTATTAATGATGTTACATCCCATGGTGGGGAAGTTATCCAAATGCAAATGTGTTGAACCATTTCCATATCATGTTAAAAATGCACATCATTCCTAAATGTTATTACTTAAAATATGTTATTTTAAAAATGATTAAAATTAAAATCTTTACTAAGTGGTTTGAATAACATACTTGTTTTCCTCATATGTTACAGTTTACTGGTAATACTGGCTTGAGCTGCAGTCCCCACAAGGTGTGACAGGAAAATGTCCAGAGTTAAAGCACAGCTAAGGTGTTAGAACCAGGAGACTTAATCTAACTAAAAATGAGCAATTGGCGAATTTATATTTCATGTTGAATATAGTTGATCTCTGCTGTGCATTTTTACACTTCACTTATGTAAAGTAGTAAAGTGTGTCATATACATGAAGAACAGGAATTGTTGGCATAGCAATGAGGATGGTTTGATAGCTATTTAAACAGATTTTAGTAACCTTAAGACCAAATAAAATGATTTCATATGACATTCTTAGAAATTCAAATAACATTTTTAAGGAGAGTATCATATTAGTGATTGCTTCAGATACTTAAAGACGTGGTAATTAATAAAAATTGTTTACATATTTTTAAACGTGTTATGTATAAAATATGAAATATTTGTTATAGAAAGGTGAGATAAATGTACTTTTTTCTTTTCCCATTTAAATCATAAGCATAATTTTACAAAGTAAATGGTTACTAGCAAAAACAGTTAATTTGCTTAATCTATGACCATTTTTCAGTGAATGTATGTATTCAAGGAATGAGTAATATCAAGTTTACCAATTGAGTGCATTATGATACAGATTATATTGAATGTGTGTTTCTGAGTGTAGCCTGAGTACACTCTTAATTTGATTTTTAAAGAGTTAAATTGCCCGGGCGGAACCCCCTGCTTCCCCTGGAGGCAGAGGCGCCTGTGCTGCAGGGAGAGTCCTGGGGAGATCTCCGGTCCCCTGGTTTTTGAGAACTTGATAGAAGATCATACACAGAAGCTGAACTTGCCAGCATGAGATAGACTGTCAGTGGGCCGAGTAACTGATTTGAAAAGCTAAATGAGTGTTTGCAGGTTAATCCCTTTGAGGGGGGGCAGTTATGCCTAAAATATATGAAGCTTTATAAAGTGCTTTTAAAAATTGTTCACAGCGTCTGGTAAACTAGGTCTAGTCCTTGGAATTCGTATTAGAGGTTGGAAATTTGCATTGCTTATCTTCCGGTGCTCATCATTTAGTCTGTAAATTTGTGAAGGTTTTCAGGATCAGCCTTGAGTTTCTCTATTGATTTAATTAATTTGAGCCTTTATTCCTATTATTGATTTTGATGTTGGGTGACATGGAATGTTAGACTCATTGCTATGTATTTAAGTACTAGAGATACCCTCTGGGTTTAAGAACAGCCTTGCTCAATTGGATATTGTAATTAAGGATGCTTCTTCATCATAAATCAACCAATGTAGTGCATTATTTTTTTTTTTTGCAGTGGTGAACGCACCTTGTATTTTAAATTAAGAATTATCAAAAAGGAACATTAAAACCATTAATGGAAACAGTTTCTTCTACAGGTGGGTTTTGTTGACATGGGAATCAGACAGACCTGAGGTTTGAAGTTTGATGTACCTTCCTTCAGAGGAAAGCAGAGCACCCAGGCATAGAGCTTGGAACACGTCAGGTCTCATAGCTGGAGCAGCATTGCGCCCAGCCCCATGCCATTGTCCGCACACGCACCAAGCATGTCTTTTCACTGTGCCATCTGCCTAACACTGAGTACCGATTGCTCGGATTCCACACCTAGCTCATCTCCCCTCTCCGGCCCGCAGCAGCAGGCCTCTGACAGCTTATAGCTTGAGAAAATTAGTTTATACTTTGAAAACATTCCTCTGTTTAGAGGTTTTTTTGGGAATTGCCAAGGATTTCTACGCCTCTCCCTTCCTGTGTTTGTCTTAGAATTTAAAACTGTAAAGGAAGATGTTCTCTCTGGAATAGATCGTGCATTGACGTTTTCTGCTCTGCTTAGGAGAAAGGTTGTAGGAATTTAAAACAAAACAAAGAAGAGTTTTTGTAATGTTAGGATATTTTAAGTAGTTTGGAAGAATTTATTTTTAAAATGTTCCTTGTTTGCAGGTCATCTCAGGCGGCCTAAGGGACCGGGCAGCTTGCTGCAGATTAGAGGGGCGCTGCTGCTCTTCCTTAAACGCACAGACACACTTGCCAGGCCCACCCAGTACTCATTTGCTCCGGCATTTATGTGGTGGGCGTCCCATTGGGATATTTATTCTAGGGAAGTCCTCCTATCTTGTCTTCCTGTTCTACACCCAGCATCCCGAGCTGTTGCGAATGAAGGCAAGGGCAGGTGACTGAATTGCTGGCCTTTCTCTACAACTTAAGAAATCTACCTGGTGTAGAATGCCCTAGGTGTTGCTTATTTCTTGGGTATAATAAAAACCCTTGAAGGGGTGTGTGGAGTTACAGAGGGGTGGTGGGTCACCGACTAGCAGGAGGGATGCTCCTACAGCTCACTGGGCATTTAGGTTTTGTTCCTGGTTTATACAGCCAGGTGCAGAACTGCTGGCATCGTAAGAAGCAGGCACCAGCACTCGCGTTTCAGATCAGCTGCCTCGGCCCCCTCAGTTAGGGGAATCTGTCGCTAGAGGCCCTGTCCCCATAAGAAAAGACATCTGAGCATTCTAATACCATCGTCCATGGCTGTCCCGTACTTCTGTCACCAGTGTGAGCCACAGGAGCGTTCTGTGAGCCTGATTTCAGGACTGTTTGTGAACTTCCGTGTCCTTTTGCTTTTGGATCAAACTCTGTATGTGTAAGGCATCCTTCTTCATAGGGACAAAGGGATACTGTTTCAGGTTCACAGAGAGAGACCACATTTCCCTGCAGGAGTCTCCTAGTAGTATCACTTTGATGTCTTTTTTCGTTTTAAAACTCATTTTTATTGATTTTTAAAAAAATTACAGACAATTAACTAGGTGCAGATTTTCAGTGCAGAAGAAAAAATGCCCAGGGGCCACTCCCAGGGCTCCCAGCCCCTCCCTCGTGGGCCCGGGCTGCTGTTCAGGGAGGGCGCAGCCTTCCCCTGGAGCTGTCCCACCTGCCCTGCGGTGGGGAGAGGTCTGAAGAGACACAGTCAGCGGTTCTGGTCAGGTACACATAAACCCTTTCTCTTTGTTCACATTTACAAATAGAACAAAAGAAATAGAATTTCTCTTTCTGGGT